AACGTACCTTTATTTCATTAGAGCAGGAAGCTATGGACGAAGCTTCTGGCAAAAAATGTTTATTACTGAATGAGCGATACAGTGACATATCACAGTTTAAAATAAATGAAAATTGTTTTGGAAAATTTGACGTTCACTTTTTAGGACAGAGAACATAAACGCGACTGGACTCAGCGGTTAACCGCTGAATAAGGGTTTGTACGCATAAACTGGGAATTAAAATGCCGACAATCTTCTGACCCTGCTCGGCCCTCACACGAACGATTTGCATTCGGGCCTGACGACGTCCAGGCAAAGAAGACAGCATGTTTTCGACCTAAAAGATTTTAAAACAAGTCATTAATTATTCACATAATTAGTAGCTAGCATCTTTACCAAATTCCAAACAGCCATAACGGAACCCGAAAGAATGTAATAGTTACGACGACGACGTCCAAAGTCACATATTTGTCCTGCGGCAGTGGTATGGCATCTTCCATACCTGAAATTTTCAAAGTGTAAGTATAGAGATATAGCGCATACATGAGTAACTACTAAAATGAATAACCTGTAAAAAACTGGGCAAGATAGTCGTACTGCATAATAAAACACTAATGACCAGAATCAGAAAGCCGTGCCTTGCTTGAACGCAGGGCAGAAATGAAGTAAAATATAAGATGCAATCAGGACTTATCACTACCATCAGAATCAATACGGACAAGACAGTATAAAAAAGTTTGAAACAAAGCAAATGATAGGGGACTCAGAACTGAGCAGTAACGATGGAGGTATCGACTTTTACGTTCAATAAAACAATGGCTAAACAAAGTCGTCGAAGGCATGTAAGTGTGGATAATGCATGAATGACAATATGAGAAATTAAGCAGTATATAAATATAAATAATACACATAATATATAGATATAATGCGGGATGACAGAAACGGCCAAAATACACATCAAAACTTTACTAAATGCATGCTGCATCAAAGAACCCTTCAAAAAGCAGACGTACGAACAGTTCTGCTGGCGCAGAATACTTCGCC